CACTATTTAGTAAATATATATAAGAATATCTGTGCAAATGTATCGAAGAAATCAAAATATCTACTCACTTCTGGAAGGGACGACTTGTATTAAACACGTTTCTCTCCGGCCCTAATGTGGACCGAAGGGTGGCCGAGTTTGTGAAAATGCCGGGTTATCGGGAATGGGTTAAAAAAGGATAAGTATGCATGTTTCCTCAGAAAATATTGTACTGTACTTGTATGTATTGTTTGCTTGAGAATACAACAGAGAATAAACTGCCCAAATACCCTTAAACAAAGGAAAAGTACGTCCTTTATGAAGGCACAGAGCCTTTACTACATGAAAATGAAAATTAATGAATACACTGTGTACAGTAATTTACCTGATAAGAGAGACCTTAGAAAAGTACTTTGAGGCATAAAGCTGTCTGTAATGAAATTAATTAACTAAGGATTTTTTTGCCCTGCCAGGGTGTGGCCGAGTTATCCGGAGTGCCGAGTTTTTGAGGCTCTACTGTATTTTGGAAATTGTGAATAAAGTACTTGTCTGTCTTGATCGATTTGGTTATATTTCATCCAGGCAGAGTTGAGTCTCCATTTGTAGCACTTTGTGTTGTGCAGTTGGTTTCAGATGGCAGTGATGAAACATTTTGCTTTATATATATAATATACTGTATGATGGATAAGATAATATATTGCATTTGTAGGAATTTTTATGAATGAAAAAAGTTTAGAAAACACTGTTTTGGGGGTCAGAAACAGATTAATTCATATTACATTGTTTCTTATTGGAGAATTTTTGTTTCAGTTTGAGAACAAATTCTTTTTGAACAACTTTTAGGAACAAATTAAGTTCAAAAACAGAGATTTGACTGTATAAATAAATGAATATCGAAGGCTTTTTCATTAATGCAATTTGTTTGCTTTGTAAATAATTAATGTGAATGAAATGATATGTAATGAAAAATATATTGCTACTCTATAATGTAATGTCATTTCAAAGATAAAAAAGTAATTAAAAAATTTTTTTTGTATTTGAGTTCATGTACTTATATATATATTGGCCATCATTATAACTTCAGTTATGGGTGAGATTTTATTTCATCTATATCGTGTGATTTCTATCAACTCTAACCAACAAGTAATATAAATACTATAAAATTTGCTTATTGTATGTTTAGATATTGTTGGTCTTAATTGTGTAAATAAAAAGTTTAGTGTCAAAAAATATGCTGAAATCAAGCAAATATTTTTAATTAATTTTTTTTACACAAAGATGTAAGATTTAGGTTATGTCTTAATTGAACAGTAGATGAATATGGTGCAGTTTTGTGACCATGAAAAAGTTTATAATGCGGAATCAATAGTGCATTTAATAAAAGAACTGAAAACCTCAATATGATGTATTAAATTTATTTCCAAAATTCTTGCCAGACAGTCAGCTGAAATATTAATGCTACTGTTTGGTGTCTTAGTTATGTAAAGATAATGTGCATGCCTAGATGTGTTCTTAGTTTTAATAATGTGAATTTTGTGACAAAATATTACTGTCATGCACAACTATCATAATAGTTCAGTTTCATAGAAAATTTAATTTTTTTTCTTTTATGCTTCCTTATAAATACTACATAAATATAATATTGATATGGATGTCTTAGCATCTAAGTGTAATGAAAAAAAAAATAAGTTTATAATTTAAATTTTTATTTTATATTGCAGGTAGAACCTAGTGATACCATAGAAAATGTTAAGGCCAAGATTCAAGATAAAGAAGGTTTGTAAAATTTTTGAAAATGGTTTTATTGGGTTGTTTGGAAACTAATTTCGTTTTTTTTTACCACTATACGGATTAGTTGTATTTTTCCCGCCATTTTCATTCTAAACCATATTATCATTATATATTTTGACAGCTAGCATTTTAAGGCTTATTTGTAAAAAATTTTGTTTGATTTCGTGCAATTGTTTATTTTTTTGTGTCCCATCAAATATGGAAGATTGAAAGCAGCATTTTCGGCATATTTTGCTCTTTTATTACCAAAAAGGTAAGAATGCTGTTCAAGTGAGAAAAAAATTGTGTGACATGTATGGAGAAGATGTGTTGAGAGAAAGACAGTGCCAAAACTGGTTTACAAAATTTCGTTATCGCAATTTCAGTCTTGAAGATGCACCATGTTCTGGACGGCCAGTTGAAGCCAATGAAAACAAAATAAAGGTACTGATTGAAGCAAACTGCAGAATAACAACATGTGAAATCACTAAGAGATTAAATTTGTCAAATTGAACTGTTTATGAGTACTTGAAACAAATTGGTTTCGTTTCAAAGCTCAATATATGGGTTCCATGTGTTCTTAAAGAAAGATGCTCTTTTTGGTGGGATTTTTAAGGAAATTTTTTTTTTGGAGCTTTTACCAGACAATTTAACAATTGATTTGAAAGTGTACTGCTATCAAGTAAACAAATTGAGTAATGTCATCAAACAGAAAAGGCAGCCAGAATTGATCAACAAAACAGGTGTAATGTTTTACCATGATAATGTGAAATTTCACACAAGTTTGGTAACTGGTCAGAAACTGTTATAACTTAGATGGGATGTGCTATCATACCAACCATATTTGCCAGATCGAGCACACTCAGATTATTACTTGTTCAGGTCTATACAAATTTTTTTAAGTTGCTTTAGTTTCCAGCAATTTTTGATATTAATGTAATTAAACGTAAAAAATACTTAAAACTGAAAAAAAATGAAAGAAATGCGTTAATTTTAAAGAAAAGGCTTCAAACTTTATTTTCCATTGTCTTGCCTTTCTGCAAAATTTGACACCGATGAGTCATTGTGTTTACAGCTGGATGACCTTGAGAACAGCTGGTGTTGGATTTCCCGGGACATTCTCATAGAAGTCTTGGGAGGCGATGGGTTTATAGTAGGGTGAATACTAGCTGGCCATATATTTTTAAAAAATTAAAATTTTTATTGCGATTTCCAACCCCCCTGACTTAATTAAACGTATATATAATAAAATATATTAATTAAAAAAANGTGTTAATTTAATATATTTATTTAATAAACTTGCAAATATTGACTTACTTTATTAAAAAAATTAAACACATATATATAAACGTATACTGATATTTTAGTTACGTGACAGGGCGCGTAGCGGCAGTTACAACGCAAATTAGGTACGACTTGATTCAAAGTCCAGTAACAGCTAAACGGTTAGCATAACTGACCCGATTTCAAAGATAAATTGTAACTTGTAATATGAAGAGAGAATACTATGACGTATTTCCACAATAATTAAGTACGTCAAACAAACAAATTTATTATTATTTTGCGGCAATTTGCCGCGGGGGCGCCCACCGAAGGGTTAAATTATATTTGTTACTTATTTATTAAATATCTATACAATGTGTTGATTTTAAAATTATCTATTTTTCGTCTATAAAATTTAATCCATAAATTTTTTTGGTAGTAAAATCGACTTGCCATTGATCTTTCACTGATAATTGATGCTTTTTAACAGAATCTATAGCCTAAAATTTCTCTTGAAAAATTAATTTTGTGATCTGAAATAATTCCATTAAAAAATTATTCGTATGAAAAACTAATTTTGTGATCAGTGCTATCAAATCACTACTACTTACATCATAGACTTCTATGCATACTTTTTTTCACGAGTTTTAATAGAATTTGTTGCCAATAAACATCCAAGAACAGTCAGTATGTCATGACCGATCAGATGCCATGGCCGACTGACTGACTGAGAGACAATGGCATAGCAAACATAACTGGTGCCCCTTCCCCTCCAGAAACAAATCTTGTTTGTCTTGGAAACCATTTGGTGCCCCTCTGCAAGTGGCGCCTGGGGCAAGCTGCCCCACAATAGCTACACCTCTGCTGAGAGATTTTCTTATTCGTGTGTGGGCAATAGGAAATTCTGAAGTTCCTCAAGGTCAGGCAGCCTCAAAGGATTAACTTAACGTGTATGGCTGCCTTAAAAGCACAAAAATCCATAGAACAATACTAAACCTAATGTAAATTTCACATGCTCTAGCATGAACACTAGTGATAGGACGAAAAACACGCCATCATTATCATTTAAGATTTGTGGTCATTGGAAGTAGGAATGCAGCTTTACCAGTCATGTTACTTCCTAGAAATACAGTAGGAGGTATAGCTGAAAATTGTGAACATCATTGATGAAAAATTCTGAATGTTTTCTAATGAGGCATGGCATAAAAACAAATAAGTACAGTATTGTCTTAAAGTTGTGAGACTTGAAATCTGGTCACTATTCATTTGTCCTCTTGAGATGCAATCTGAAATTATGGGCTCTTAGCATAAAGTCTGATTATGAAAAAAAAACAGTATTTAATTTTATTGGCCACTAATAAGCATAATTTATTTTGAGTAAGGAAATGGTGGACAAATTTGGGTTTTACTTCTTCATTATGCAGCTATACTAATTTGTAATTAGAAATGCTGTTGGCTATTAAGGAAATATCACTGAATTCAATGTTTTCTGCAAAGTTGGCATTAATAGATTTGGCTGCAGCCACAGTGAAGGAAGTTAGGGAGAGGTGTGCAACACCTTAGGATGTTACATTGGAAATAAGTTTCTATTATTCGAAAAATTTATTCATTACATTCAGGTAAAGATGAGACGATTATAAAGTTAGCCAATTAACAATGAACGATTAATCATAATTGTTTAATAACATGATTGTTAACTAATCATTGGAAGTCCGTTACTATACAATAGAATCATGTTTGAATGTGTCTTGATAACTGATCTGGAAAAAATATCTGAAGTTTGCAGGTGTTTTCTCTGGATCCAGATGCCAGATCAAGGTATTTTTGCCTCATTTTGGCTGATCTGTTACTGCTAATATAAGGGAGTTCTACTGTATATATCAACTTATTTGTTACTGTATAACAATACTGTGGACAAAATTTCAGTTCTGTGTAAGATATATTGTTTTAACAAGTTTAATAAAAATCTATTGGTAAATCTAAAGCTTTTCATTTTATTTTATGATCCATGGCTCTGCTTTACACAACAAATCCAAGACTCATTGCTCATAGAGAAAATGAAACAAAGAAACTAGATGTAAAAATTACACTGAAAAAATGAAAATGATTAAATGGTGAATTATACATAACAGTAAGACTCCACTTAACACTGATTCGATATAACGCAGTCTGCTTGAAGCCTGAAAAAACTCAAAATTTACGCTGATTCAAATTATTGCTGCATTTTGTTGATTATTCCCATACACTAACCAATCAACAAAAAGTGTCAATTCATTGGGCTGGTTGAATAAAAAGTAGTAAATACTTTTACTACAATTTTTCTAGCATTTACTAGAAGTTTGAGAATAAAAGTTAGTAAATGCTTTTACTAACAGTAAAAAGTAGTAAAAGCAAAAAGTAAAAGCTTGGTTTTATTCACTTTGATTATAAGACTAGTAAATACTTATAAATCTGTGAATAAAAATAAGTAAAAGCTTCCTTTTTTAAGTAAATGCTTCAAAACATTGAAATTAGCTCTATAGCTACCTTTAAAACACAAGTAAAAGGTTTCATATTCATATATTTTTGATTTTCAACATAGAGAAAATGGCTTTGTTGTATCCAACAATGTTGTCGAGAAAAAAACTAAGCAGTATAGACCCAGAAACAATATGATAACTGCCAATTTCAGGAAATTATATCGATTTGATGAAGAGAACATGGAGTGGTTACCAACCACTTGCTTGGTTGTAAAAATGAGACAAGGGGAGGTGCCCTTTCCTCCAAAACTAAAATGATATTTCTAAGATACATTTCTGATTCGGGATTTCAGACAGGAGTCGCAAATGACATTGGCGTTCACCCAAGCACTGTCAGCAAGACTATTAAACAGATAAATTTGAAAGTTTTGCAGTATTATTTACAGAAAACTAAGTTACAGTACATTTATTGCTATTTAGGTAACTGACTGCGTTATTGCAAAGGCAGGTGACAGGATAAGGTTTCCGAAAACATTTACTGAAAACGAAACTGCAAAACAGAATTGGCGAGAGCATTCTCGATTCCAAAGTGTATTGGAGCACTTGACTGCACACATGTGCGAATCTTGAAACCCTGGCCTTCATGGGGATGAATTTGTCAACAGGAAAGGAGTTTCGACAATAAACATCAGGTCACATGCAATGCCAACATGTGGTTTACTAGTTTCGATGCGCGTTGGCCTGGATGTATTCACGACAGTCAAATTTGGAAATGCGGTGCAGAATGTAAATTTATGATGAAGTCCAAAGATGTACTACTCAGAGATGCTGGCTACGGTATTGCACTTTGGCTGTTGACTCCCTTCAACAACCCTAAGACTGTCGAAGAAGAACACTTTAACAAAGTGTTTACGAAGGAACGTGTTATTATTGAACGTTGTTTCGGGTAGGTGAAATGCAGGTTTCCTATTTTGGCCTATATAATGAGAGTTGCACTCGATTGAGTACCTTCTTTAATCATTTGTTGTTTTGTTCTCCACAACGTATCAAAATACTTAAATGATGATTGCTTGGATTTCCCTGAAATATTGCAGGAATGCGATGATTCAGACAAATGATCCATGCAAGGAAAGTAAGGCTCAAATTCAAAAACGAGGAAAAGATGTCAGGCAAACCATCGCTGACATTTTGTACTCTAATCGATAAACTTTATATAAGGATTCATTTTGTGGTTTTATTTGGATTCATGTATAGAAATTTCAATGTTTAAAAAAGTAGTATTTT